GCAGGAGCTGGAGCACAGGCCATGGAGGAACACTACTTACAGGCTTGCTCCCCTGGCCCCTGCTCAGCCTGCTTTCTTATGCAACACAGGCCCACCTGCCCAAGGGTGGCGCCACCCACAGTGGGCTGGGCCCTCCCACATCACTCATCAAGAAGATGCCCCTCAGACATGGCCACAGGCCAGTCCAGTAGAGGCAATTTCCCAATTGAGGCTCCCTCAACCCAGGAGTGTCAAGTTGACACTAAAGCTATCCAGCACACATCCTCACGTGGAGGGCTCCATGTACTCTTGCAGACTTCTGTAGGAACTCTTCTTTTCATCTTCATTCTGGAATTCTGAGTAAGTGCGCTGTAGGAAAAGCAGGAGAAAAAAATTCCACCCACTCTGGGCTCCAAACAGATGGAGTTAAATGTGGCCACATTGGGGCCCAGGGGAAATAATTTTATTAACCCTAAGTCACTGTAAGTTCATCATCTAGCATCGTAAGAACAGCTCCTTCTCTAGTGGTCTGCCCTGGAAATCCATTTCTCGATGAAACGTGCACCACCTTGAATGAGTTTATTATCCTCGGATCCACCGGAGAGATAGGAGAGCAAAACCACCATGTCTCCTGGAAAGGAATAAAGGACTAGATGGGAAGAGTTATTTATGCTTCTGGCTGTCACCTGCAGCAGCAGTTAAGATTGCCCTATAGAGTCGCCTCTGCTTATTAGCAGAGGGAGCGAAGGCAGAGAAATAGTGTTAATGTTGCAATGAGACATGACAGAGCCTCTTGTTTCCAAGATTGGCCTGAAATGAGCTAAAGCCAAATTATACCAACAAATCTGTCATGCTGCCCTGAAAACAGGAAGTCTGGGCTGGGCCAGCATTAGTCACGGCACACACTGGCAAACTGTACCAGATCAGGGAACGAAAAATGTGCTTCATCTGCAAAAATTAACTTTTGGAATCTGTGGAGTGTTTTCCATTACCCACTCTCTTCTCTCCAAAGGCCAGTCATCAAATATGCTTGGCTCCCTTCTGCTTCTGCTGCACCATTAAGTGTATGAATTTGTATGAGAAATGGAATCCCAAGTAGCTGTGTGCCCTTGGATAAATGACCTCATCTTTCTGGACCTGAGTTTCTTCTGAAAAATGAGAGCCTAGCATCTCATGGTGGTGGGGCTTTAGCTTTGGTGGGGATTAGGGAACAGCATAGCAGACATCGATTGCATGCCCATGACAAGCTCTGTACTGTGCTGAGAAATGGAGATAGAAAAGGAAGAATATCTAGTCCTCTAAAGACTTTCCAGTATATACAGGGCGCCACAAACTTAGAAAGATATATCACGAAGCTGTCACAAGGCAATCAGAAGTCCCCATATCTACATAAGATGCCATTTAAAACTGTTACAAGATAGGTTTTTCCCTGTGCCGTAATTATATACAAGAGCCAAAGCTGAAGAAGAAAGGCCTTAAATATACTACATTCCATATGCCTGCAGCATGAGGCCAGCAGCGTCCCCTGGGACCTCTTGCAGGAGGCACAGCACTGTACACCCTACCCCGTTACTATTCGCCAGTCTCTTAGAGAGACAATGAAGGCAGGGAAGTCTTGGCTGAGGGAGCAGTGCAGTGCTCCAGACAGGATCTATCTCCTCCCACCCTGACGGCAGGGCCAGAGGGGATCTGAGAGGACTTCTTAAAAATCATCTCAGTAACAATCAAATTATCTTTAATATGATGTAATTACTTTAAAAAATATCCTAACTAGTATATTGGGCTTGTTAACAGAGCATAGGGTTGGGGTTTGTTTACAGAAGAATGCCTCCCCCCCATTTACGGCTGCATGGGAAGGTCCACACTCAAATATAGGTTCTGTGACTTCCCGACAGCCGCACGAAATGGCGGCGACAGAGGTGCCTCCTGGCGTTCTGGGTTTATATATCCTTAGCCCTTCCCCACATGCAGGTAAGGTCGACTTTTTACAAAGATTGGAGGCTGCTTCTGGAAATGGAGAATGCTGTTCTAGGCCTTGACTGAGTGTGTGCTAAGCTGCCAGCCTCCTAGAATCTCACAGATATCCTGCATAGTGATTGCTTGAGGGAGTTTGGGGGAGCGTATTGGAACCCCAGAGCAGAGCCACACTGTCCTCCAGTTCCATGCTCCCACTTGCTCTCTGAAGTCTGAAGGGATGCTTGAACCCCAAGAATTCAGATCTAGAGATTTGTGAGGATAAAAGGACCATTGCTTAGGCCATGCTAGGCAGCTTGAAATAGATTGCTGTACAAAGTGTTTGGGTGACAGGTATGGCTCCTAGTGTTTCATTCCATTTTTCTGGAAATCATATATAAAGGGTCTCAGCAGTTCCATTCCAGGAGCTCTGCCAGCAAAGACAGCCACTGTGGGACTACCTTGTGAGACACTGTGACCCAACAATACATTGCTCAACCTAGATACATTTGTGGAGTGAACAGATGGTTGACCCTTCTGGGAGAGGCCTCCACTGTGAAGGGTACTCGATTGAAGGTGATTTTCTGAAAATATGTCTTTCACACTGTTAATTGGAAGCCGTTAGCACTGGTAGAATTGGATCAAACCAGAATGAGTTTAGTGACAGCCTGCTGTGGTTGGATTTGGTTTGTCTCCAAAGGTTCATGTGTTGGAAGCTTGACCTCAGTAGAGTGGCACTGAAGCTTTGTCTTTTAATGGGTAGAGCCTGGAGGGAGGTAGTTAAGTCAGGAGGGAACTGCTTTTGGTGTGGGT